TCGTACTAAACTGGACTGAGCTGGCCCTGCTGTATCAACTATGCTGGCCTGGTTTAGCTCAGCTTACTTCAGCTCAGTTTGGTTCCTGTTTACACTGTCAAATGAAACTGTACTGTCCCACTTTAAACAGGGCTGGCTTTGTTAAAGAAGCTAGTGTAAATGTAGTACCACATAGCACAAAGTTTTTGAGGGCTGTAAATTTCATGATTTTTGGAGATTCACAAAAAATACTTCTGCAAAAATCAAATTATTATGGCACAAGATGGCAGATGGCATAAATTTGCGAAAATTAATCCACAAAATAGACTTTAGGCAAATTCTCGAAATTTACAGCCCTTAAAATTTTTTGTGCTATACAGTATAAAACTAAAAATTATTTTTCACACATGGTACTAGAACCGGAACTTTTTATTACATGACGGGCTTCAGGCTGATCTGGTAGAGCAGGCTAAAGTATAGTTGTACCAAAACAAGAACTATAGAACAAAATGTTGAATTAGAACAACACTAAACTACAAATAAGATATATAGTTCATAAGTCTTCATCGTCCTGCTCTCCATCAGCATCAAACAACTGGACCCTCCTACCACCATTGGATACCTACAAAAATACGCGTACATCAGTCATACAATGTAAGCAGAGATAGTAGTAGACCAATCAATTTTAACCAAAGACCCAGTACTGTAGTACACTTCACTATCAGCTTTTATAAATTTAATTTTTCTGATACATAAAACATGTTCTTATGTAATACGTAACATAAAAATTTGAGCCAATTCCAATGACAATTGAATTTCAAGTTTTTCTAAAGTAGCTTCAAATCAGGCCAAAGACCATGTGTATTAACATGTACTATAATACATGGCTTTGGCCAAATTTTGTCAAAAATTGCAAGGACAGAATTTTCCATTAAAAAATTTCTTCCTGATATATAGTCGGTTTCAGTTGAGTTTGACCACTGACCCACCCTTATAACTTCTCTATAATTTATGCTAGCAACTTGAAACTTGGTATAGTTGCAAAACGGGTTCTTCCAAAAATCTGTACTAATTTTGGAGTCTCTAGGTACTCTGGAAGGTTCTCAAAAGGTTCTTCCGGTCAACATGAAAGGGAGCCGCCATGATGTTTCATGACGTGAAGCTTCGTGAATATCATTTGCATCTCATTAAATATGTCAATAATCATGTTTTTATTATTTAAAAATCAAATAAAGCAAAAGGAGCACTCCAGGCCAAGATTTAATTGAACAAGAAGACTTTGCACTCCAGAAAGAAGTCTCACTCAGTCTGCTGTACTTCTCTAAGCCTTCGTTATTTGTCTTCAACATTGCCGCTCAGAAACTCCGCTGAAAATTTGCATCTCTCGATTCTTTCTTCAGGTAATAGCAAGCACAAAGATCTTTCATGTCAGTTGCAGGGCTAGCAGGGGCCAAAACAGGGTAATAAACAAGTTACAACAAGAAGAAAGGAGCATGGATGAAATTTTCAGCCATTTTATTTGCATGTGGGTGGGGCTACACGTGACGTTTTGATGATGAAAACATCTGGTCAAACTCAACTGAAACCGACTATACATGTATGTATGTTCTTAAGCAATGTAGAAAGCTTGAATTAATTCCAATCAAAATTGGATTTTTATGTAGAGTAGAATTTGTGTCACAAGAGTAGAACTTTTATTTTAGATATTAGTCCTTCAGAATCCTACTTACTTTTGTCAGCACAGAATGAATCCTATTCGATTTTCTTTTTCTTAAACATTTTGGGCAAATTTTGAAGCAGCTTTTACATATTCTTTTAGAGTGCATACATGCAGAGCTCACAGAAAGCTTGTGTTAAGATGTTGCCACTTCTTTGAAGCAGCAGCATTAGCAGGCAAATGAGTGGTCTGACATGCCCACTGGTTCGCAAAAGTATTGTGGGGAGTCGTTCATTTCTTAACATAAAGAGACTCAAAAATTGTAACTTTCAAAGCTTATTTTGGTAAGATTTTAGCTATAGAAGATACCTTTACAGTTTACACATTTGGCCTGCTAAATCATCTTTGTAGTAGGATAAAATCTTTCCCTGATGCATAAGAATCACTGCTGATGGTAAAACTTACTGAAATAAGCTTTCATAGCAAAAATTTGTTACTTTGTTCTAATCTAAAACATACTGTATAGCAAGAAATTTTGGAGGGACTACAATTTGCCGAATTACTATTTTTTTAAATAGCGAATTTTAATTTGGCGAATTTGTGGCCACGTGCCATTGAGCATGTGTATAATGGCTCAAAATGGTGAATTTTTATTTTGGCAAATGGCTATCAAAATGGCAAACTTTCGAGCCTCTTTATGTTAAGAAAGGAAGGACTGCAACATTCTTTTGCCAACCAGTGGGTGCGTCAGACCATGTGTTTCCTGCTAACGCCACAACTTCAAAGAAGTGTTACTTAACACAAAAGCTACGCATAATGCATCATTTACTGTTAAAACAACCATTACAATGATGGAACTACGAAGTGTAAAACTGAACTATGCAATACTAAGACTGAAGAAGGCATTAATTAACAAATGTGCGAACAAAATTTTCAATAGAGCTGTTGCACAAATGTAATCAATGGAGGGTGCGGCTATGACTGTTCACCATGTTGAGTGGCAAGAATGTACATAGAATGAAAAGAAGATGCAGAAACAAACTGGGACTTTCAAAGGATGAGATATCACACTTGGCTGTAGAATAGTATAGAGAGCTCTTCACTCAATACTTTCATTTCCTAGCTTGCATTAACCTGTAACGTCAACTGCAAAGCTTATTTAGATTTTTCTCCATTCTCCCCATGTACATTCCTGCCACTCAAGATGGCGGACAGTCATAGCACTCCCCGTTGATTAAATCCATGCAAGAGCTCTATAATTAGAATGCACATACCTCTGTGTCTCCATCAATTTTCCTAACTATTGTCAACGTTCTTGTTCCACCAGCTTTGTAATGAAGGTATTCTGGTATTTTATTAGCTTTGGTCCTTCTGACAAAGAATGTATCTATAAATAGTAACACAAAATAGTTCAGCTTGAATGCTAGTAGTCTCACGTGATGCAGTATTTCTCAGGTTTCTATTGAGTGATAGAATAGTCTAAAAGTTAATGGTAAGTAACAGTGTGATTCTGTAAAGTTTTACTTGCATCCTGAACGAATTGTGAGCACTGAAACGGATACCAGCATGATACAACTTCGACGCCATTGTTTAATCTTACTACGCACGTGCAGGCTGTAATCACTAATCAGAAAAATGGCGTTTTCAATGTAATGACACACTTATAGGCCTAAGATGCTCAATAGCACTGTATTGTCACAAAAACTATAACCAATGAACTAAATAAAGTGGAACTATCACTAAAACAAAATGTTCAACTATAACACAAGTAAAGCCACATGTTCTTCACATGTGGCCACATCTTCACATATCTTCATCCTCCTGCTCTGCATCAGCATCAAGTAACTGGACCCTCCTACCCAGGGGCGTAGCCAGGGGGGCAAGGGGAGCAATTGCCTCCCCTTTTTTCCAAGGAATTAAAAACTTAAGTTTTTTCAGCAAATTATGGCTTAAAATACAAATAGCACAACTTACTGGCAACAGACAAACTCTTAAAATCCCTTTAAAATGTCCAATTTTAATTTTTAAAAACCAAACATTGATCGTCAAATATACCGTGGCCGACATATTTAAAATGGGCATGGCTTCCTTTACAAGTGATAGGTGTGGCTCGCTACACTTCAATAGAAGCCGTGTTTGCACATTAATGTACCACAAGCTAAACCACAAACAGCTGTAAAGTGATAACACGTGAATTAAAGTGAAAACAATTGTAAAAGTGAAGTAACATGTCATTAGATAGATATTTAAAAAGAATAACTCCGTGTCCTAGTAGTGCTAGTGAGCCAATAAGGTAAGGAAATTTATAATTCATTTACAATAATGAAAAATAACTAAGCATAAAAGTTCATTATAATAGTATAATTACAATCCTTAGAAGTAACTCTGGGGTGTCATCAGAGAGTTGTGAAGAGAGAAGTTCCCTTGAACCACCACCATCAAAGCAACCCTGCTTGGAACATCAGGATCCAGAGCCTCAGGAGCCATTTGTGATTACCTCCCACACAGATGTAAGCACTGTAGTTAAAAGAAGGCATTCACTGACTGAAAAAGAGAAATACGATTTCTATTGCCATCATTTCACACTCGAACTTGACTTTAAATTTCCCAAAGAAAAGTCACGCAGCTTCCAACACCAGTACCTATGTAAGTATAAGTGGTTAGTGTATACAGTAAACAGGAGAATGGTGGATATTGTCTCCCCTGTGTATTGTTTGCCCGTAGCACCGATGTTCGTAAAAGTAAAGGAACATTCATTGAAACCCCATTTACTAACTTCAAGAAGGCCTACGAGTTGTGTGATAGTCACGCAGACCGACATTACCATAAGGATGCTGTAGTGTTTTGTGATGGTTTTGTGCAAGAAATGAGTGGTAGACAAGCTAGCGTAGCAGTTCAACTTAGACGTGATTTGTCTCACTGCATTCAAACCAATAGACGAAAGCTTCACTCTATTGTTGAGACAATCATGTTGTGTGGCCGACAGAATATTCCACTTCGTGGTCATCGGGACAGTGGTACTGATATCAAAGGTGCTTCATCATCATCTAACCATGGAAACTTCCAAGCTCTGCTTACCTTCCGAGTATCAGCTGGGGATACCATTCTTAAGGAACACTTAGAATCAGCAGGTAAAAATGCAATATATACTTCTCCAGAAATACAGAATCAGATCCTCAACATACTTGGTGATTATATTCGTGACGCCATACTGACAAAGGTTCGTAGCAGTCTTTGTTACTCATTAGTCGCCGACGAGGTTACTGATTGTTCAAATAAAGAGCAACTCTGTCTAGTTTTAAGGTATGTGGAGACATCATCTTGCCAAATCAGAAAAGATTTAGTTACGTTTCTGGAATGTGATGGTGGAATTACTGGAGACGCTTTAAGTGACATGATGCTGAAATTTCTCAGTGACCACTTGGATCCATCAAAGCTTCGAGGGCAGGCATATGATGGAGCCAGTAACATGTCCGGTAAAACAAAGGGAGCAGCATCACGCATTTGTTCAAAGTATCCACTGGCTCTCTACACTCACTGTGCTTCCCATTGTTTGAATTTAGTGGTTGTGGCTTCTTTTGAGGAGAAAAGCGTTCGTAACATGACAGGAGTTGTCAATCGACTATCAACGTTTTTCTTTGCTCATCCTAAGCGCCAAAAGAAGTTAGAAGAGGCCATTCAAAACACCCAGCCTGATTCAAATGTTCAGAAGCTAAAGGATCTTTGTAGGACTAGGTGGGTCGAGAGGATTGATGCCTTAGACAGAGTCAGAAAACTCCACCCATCCATCGTTGCTTGTTTTGAAACCATCTCAGCTGAAGGGTCATCAATGTGGTCTAATGAATCTGTTGTAGATGCCAACACTCTTCTACTGGCAATTACTTCTACTGAGTACATTGCTGCTCTAGTTATCACACAGGAATGTATACAGTACCTCTACAGTCTCACCACTAGCCTTCAAATGGAAGCTAAAGACATCGTTCATGCAATGGCTGAGGTAAACTCGTTGACATCTTCCTTGGAGCAAGTTAGAAGTAATATTGATACATACCACAGCCAGTGGTTAAATGCTATTTCTGATATGTGCGATTCAGTAGGAACAACACCATCAGTTCCTTGAACATGTAGTCGTCAGCGTCACAGATCAAACACACCAGCTTCCAATCCCTTTGAGTACTACAAACAAACAATATCAATTCCAATATTGGATCACCTCCTAACCGAACTTCGTACCAGATTTACTGAGCATCAAAAGACAGCTTTACATGGGTTGTATTTGATTCCATCAGTTCTTGTAACAAAGGACCTATCAGATGTTTCTAGTTTTGTGATGAAAGCTGGGGAACTGTACACTGAAGACCTTCCAAATCCATCCTCTCTTGCTAGTGAACTACACAACTGGCATACTAAATGGAGTCAAGAAAAGGAAACACACGGCTCAAGCACTTTGCCTACAACTCTTTACTCAACATTACCTCAGATATCTAGCTTTTATCCTAACATCAAGGTACTAATTACCATTCTCTGCACTCTACCAGTGACTTCCTGTACTGCTGAAAGGTCCTTTAGTGGGCTCAAACGAATAAAGTCAAGCCTAAGATCAACCATGACCAACGAACGTCTTTCAAGTCTTGCTTTACTGCACAATCATCGGGATATACCGGTAAATATCGAAGAAATCATTGACGAATTTGACAGACAGTATCCAAGACGTCTCCAACTATCACAGTAACTGAATATAGTTATATAACTAGACATTCTTTTTGCTTTGTTTAAAAGTTTGCTCTATCCATAATTATATCAAATTTTAGTTCCCCGCCCTAAGCCTAGCCCATCGATGATGTAATATTCGGTAATGGTCCGCGCGAGCGAGCTCGCAAATTGCGTGTGCGAGCGCCCGCAAAAATGGGCGTGGTCAAAATTTCACGGCGCGCTTTGCGCGCCGCATTACTTTTGCCCTTCCTTTTTCAAAATCCTAGCTACGCCACTGCTACCACCATTGGATACCTACAGAAATACATGCACATCAGTCATACAATGTAAGCAGAGATAGTAGATAAGGTAATGAAGAGTTAAGAGTAGTAGACCAATCAAGTTTAACAAACGATCATTTGTATCAATTTTTCTGATACATATACATGTTCTTATGCTTTGTAGAAAATTTGAGCTGATTCGAATCACAATTTAATCTTTGAAGTTGTAATCATGCCAAAGACAATGTATGTATAATAATACATGGTCTTTAACCAAATTTCGTCGAAAATTGCAAGGATTGAATTTTCCATTTTGATAATTTTCCTGATGCATATGTTTTAAAGCATGTGTGCATATCAACTGAAAAATTCTCTCCTAACCAATTTTTATAAAATACAAAAAAACAGCACATGCTCTTCGGGCCAAATTAAAAAATTAACTTTGAAAGGACTGAACAAGGAAGGTGTGAAAAAATTTGAGGTGTCAGACTCAACAAGGTATTAACAAAGGTGTCAGTGAAAAAAATTTTCAATAATTACCATTTGCCAGGAGGGCCAGGTCCTGCCTGACTTAGAAAAATGATGGAGACATGTTAGCCTGACTATGTCGCCATCATTTTGTTGAAACTACTGTTCACATTCTTGTTCCACTACCAAGGTATGCTGCTGGTGTATTAGTCCTTCTGACAAATGATGCATCTAAAAATCAGTAGTAACACATAATGGTGTTTAAATGCTTATAACAGAGTCAACAGATGATTGACACCATTTTCAATGTCCCGAAGCGCTATGACTCGTTTATTGTAGTAAAAACACTTTATTTAAAAGCAAAAAATATAGGATCAGAGACAAAAGGATAAAGAATAAATTAAGATAAGTTAAGTAAGAAAATGACTTGTGCACTGCAGCACACGTATGTATACTATTGTCATCCACTCGGAAGCTCTCCAAGCCCCCAAACATGCTTTTTCCATGATCTCAGTCTAAAACTAAAATAATTTTTGGCACGTCATACAAGTAAATTATAAAACTAAAGATAATGTACAAGATGAAGAAATACAACTAAAACAACATGTTGAACTAGAGCAACACTAAAACTACTAATAAGCTCCTTTCTTGTGCTCCTGCTATAATTCACAAGTCTTCATCATCCTGCTCTGCATCAACATCAAACAACTGGACCCTCCTACCACCATTGGAAGCCTACAGAAATACGTGTACATCAGTCATTCAATGCAAGCAGAGATACTAGATAAAGTAATGAAGAGTAGAAAATTTAAGCTGATTTCAATCGAAATTAAATTTGAATTATTCAAGTTACTTAAAGATCAGGCCAAAGACCATGTACATGCACTATAATGCATTGTTATTGGCCAAATTTTGCAAGGAGAGAATTTTAAATTTTTTATGAAGCATATAATGCTCATTACAGTTTGAATTGATTCTGATCAAAATTAGATTTTTTACGATAACATTGAAAATGCATACAATTTGCATCACAAGAGGAGGGATTTTCATTTCAGATTTTAGCTGTTTGGAATTCTACTTGCCCTCGTTTCCATTACTTTGTCACAAATTATTAGCACTGAGTAAATCCCATCCAATCTACTTTTTTGAATTTGTATTTATGGTATTTTCAATGAAATGCGCTGAGCTAATTTTCATAATACAATATAATGCATTAAAGGTGGTTTAATTTAAGGCAAGCACAAAAATGAGGAAAATTAAACTGACCACAAAACTTAATACATACACTGTATATGGTATTTAGCTAAATTTTGAAGGAACTTTAATTTGTAAGGGATCCAGTTTTAATTAGAATCAACTCAAACTTAATATACAACATAAGAACATGCATGCATATCAATAAATTGTAAAATGGAGAATTCTCTCCTAGCCAGGTTTTTATAAAATATAGCCACGCCAAACTTTAAAATTTTCTTTTAAAGGGCACACAGACCTTCCCCTCATTGTCAGCTATACTGAATTATTTACTGTAAAATTAACTTTAAAAACAACCCAATAATAACAGAACTACTCTAATGTGAGGTGTAAGACTGAACTATGTGATACTAAGACTGAACAAGATATTAACAAACAATAATTAGAATGCACATACAACGTACTTCTGTGACTCCATCAATTTTTCTAACTATTGTCAACGTTCCTGTTCTACCACCTTTGTAATCAAGGTATTCTGGTATTTTATTAGTTTTGGTCCTTCTGACAAAGAATGTATCTAAAAATAGCATATAACACAAAATAGTGCTTGAATGCTAATAGGGTCTCACTTGATGCAGTATTTCTCAGATTTCTATTGAGTGACAGAATAGTCTAAAAGTCAATGATAAGTAACAGTGTGATTCTGAACAGATTTACTTGCATCCTGAATGAACTGCGAGTGTGAGAACTAAAATACAACCTCGACGCCATTGTTAAGGTTAATAGAACCAGTATTCCAGTAAACCACGTGCATGCAGGTGTCTGAGGCGTGGCGTCAGACCATAGCATGCACAATATTATTAATTTGTAATGTTTCATTTTGGAAACTAGACCATAGTGATCAGACAGTGAATGACACAAAGTACAAAAAGTAAAAAGCTAGAACTAAAATAATGAAATCGCATGATACAGTGTGTATGTAATATGCATTATTGCTAAAAACATTACCTATACCATATGAATTATACAAAAATAAAGTGTCTAAAGATTGTACCAATACTCCAGAGCTATTGTACCAAAAAGTATTATTGAAGGTGATCAATGCGCTAGATTTAGAACTAAAAATTATTTTTGGTACATGGTACTAGAACTTGAACTAAAATTAATTGGGCAAATGTACCAGAACTGCAGCAGAACTTGAACTTTTTATTGTAGAATTTTCAGGATGGTACAGTAGTACGAGAACTAGAACTTTAGAACTAAAACAAAATTTTGAACTATAACAAGACTATTACAGTACTAATATAGTTCAGAAGTCTTCATCGTCCTGCTCTGAATTAGCATCAAACAACTGGACTCTCCTACCACCATTGGATACCTACAGAAATACATGTACATCAGTCATACAATGTTAGCAGAGATAAATTAGAGTCCCTTCAAATAATGTTCAGGCATTGTGTCTGAACATTGCTTAATTTTATCTGCCATTTCATGAAACAGTCTGACATGGCTTAAGCTTCCCACAGGATTTTGACATAGTGCTCATGCAGCTTATTGTCAGTAGGCTGTTAAGTTGCTGAAAAAAAGACCAAGTATTTCAGCAAAAATCACAAAGAAAGAATTCTCCATTTTTATAATTTTTCTGATACATAATTACCTGTATATAAAAAATTTGAGCAGATTTTGATAAAGTTTGGATTCTTAATAGATTTTTAAAGTTGCTTCAAATCAGGTCAACAACTAAAGCCTTTGCAAAGTCTTCATCTAAATTTCGCCAAAAATGGCTAGGAGAGGATTCTCCATTTTTATAACTTTTTCGGATACATAAACATGTTCTTAGGTTGTGTATCAACTTTGAGCTGATTCAAATCAAGTTTGGATTTTTGTAAGAATTTTTTAAATTGCTAAAAAATCAGATTAACAGTCAAAGGTATGGTCTTTGTCTCATTTTGCCAAAAATGGCCAGGAGAGAATTGTCTATTTTAATATTTTTTCTGATACATATACATGCCCTTATGCTATGTATCAACTTTGAGCTGATTCTGATTAAATTTGGATTTTTTATGAATCTTAAAAATTGCTAAAATGTATTCTGAATTCTGTCTATTGTATTCTGGTCATGAAGCATGCTGTTTAGCTCACTTAGCATACTTTGTGGGAACTGGGAACACAATGATAATTATAATATTAAACTGCTTTAATCAATTAAAATTCATTTCAAAATTATGTTGTTCAGAAAAAGGTTAGGCAACATAGCGGACAAATGAGCAAAATGGTTGGAAAATATGTCCAATGTCTGACTGTTATTTCTGGCTCTGCTTTCCATTTTTATATCCATTTAATTTATTTTTCTGATATATAATATATGTCCTTATGTTACATAAAAAATTGAGCTGATAGTATCAAACTGAAATTTTAAAAGTTGCTAAAGGCCATGTACTAAAGGCTGCAAAAGTCGTGGCAGCCATTTTGTTTGGGGGTGAATCCTACTTAGTAATGCTACCGCGTTACTAATAGTACACAGTCTTTGGCAAAACTTTGTCAAAAATTGCAATAAGAGGATTTTCACACATTTTATACTTTTTCTAATGTATACATGACATGCAAGCAGTGTAGAAAGAATTGATTCACATTGAAATTGGTTTTTATGATAACATTGAAAATGTAATGTATAGTAAAATTTACTTCACAAGAGTAGGATTTTTATTTTAAATTTTAGTCATTCTGCACGTGTTTCCACTTTTGACAAATTAATACAAAGTGATCACTATCTTCTTTTTTGAATTTTTATAGCCCATTGAATTTAGTTAATTTTTTGAAGGAACTTAAAAAATTGTCAAAAAATCTGATCTTAATGTTATACAATGTACCGTAGAGCGGGAAGTTTTGAATGAAATTAAATTTGGCAAATTTGGCACTTTGATAGCCATTTGCCAAAATAAAAATTCGTCATTTTAGCCATTATACACATGCTCAATGACAAATTTGCCAAATTAAAATCCATCAATCACCAAAATTTAGCAATTGACCAAATTTAACTTCCTCCAAAGTACAACATAAAAACAGGAGAATTCACTCCTAGTCACTTTGGGTATTTGGCCAAATTTTGAAGGAACTTTAAAATTTTCTTTTAGAGGGCAAGCATGCAGGCCTTCCCCTTATAGTAGGTTACTTAACTTTAAATCAACCAAATAATAACGAAACTGTAATGTGAAGTGTAAGACTGAACAAGGTATTAACAAAAATTTTTAATATTAGTTAGAATGCACATACCTCTGTGTCTCCATCAATTTTTCTAACAATTGTTAACGTTCTTGTTCCACCACCTTTGTAATCAAGGTATGCTGGTATATTATTAGTTTTGGTCCTTCTGACAAAGAATGCATCTAAAAATAGTAACACAAAAAAGTGCTTGAATGCTAATAGAGTCTCACGTGATGCAGTATTTCTCAGATTTCTATTTAGTGATAAAATAGTCTAAAAGTTGATGGTAAGTAACAGTGTGATTCTAAAGAGTTTACTTGCATCCTGAATGAATTGTGAGCACTAAAACGGATGCCAGTATGATACAACCTTGACGCCATTGTTTTAATAATAATTATTGTTTAAATAGTTAGTACCATGTGGTCGCCTCAGTCAGAGCACTCACTGCCACTCAGATTGTAATCAATCCCTGCATTTTCCTTTCATGAGCTCCTGATATAATCTATGCCTGATCTGAGCTGACCACGGAGTTGAGTCAGCTGACTCAGCTCTTTAGCTGTAGCATTAAAGTTTGTACTGGATCTAAAGTTTGTACTAGTAGATGTGGGATAGTTGGGTACATGGTAGTTACTAGAGCTAAAACTAAAATTAAGCTAATCGAGAAATGTACTAGATTTAAAAAATTGAACTAGAACTAAAACAACTTCTAAATCTTGAACTAAAACAACTTTGAAATCTTGAACTAGAACAACACTAAAAAGCTATTATACTCTAGTTCATGTGTCTCAGTCATCATCCTGTTCATACAACAACATCAAGCAACTGGACCCTATTACCACGAATGGATACCTATAGAAATACATGTACATCAGTCTATGGTCATACAATATTCTTATGTAATATGTAGATAACTTAAGCTGATTATTGCATCAAATTGAAGTTGAAAAAACAATGTACTAGATTTATATATTGATGGAATTTTCTATTATTATAGTTTTTCCTATTTTGTGCTATGCATACAGTGTACATGTTCTTAAGCAGTGTAGAAAGTTGGAATTGATCCTGATTGAAATTGATTTTTTATGATAACATTGAAAATGTAATGAATGCAGAGTATGTAATGTAGAGTAGAATTTGCATCATGAGAGTAGAATTCTAATTTCAAAAAATAGGTAAGTTTAATAGACAATAGTACATAATTATAATATTACAGTTTTTGGCACTAATATGTACATGTATTTGTAGCTACAATGTATATGAGTGTCTAAAGAACAAAAACAAAATGCCACCTGTTAGTAAGGCTCAAACTCACAACCTTCAGTTTATCCATAGATACTATATGACTTGATTGACTTAACTTCAGTTTAGTATTTTGAAGAAGACCCTGATGATAGCGAAATGTTATAGCAAAAAAGGAAGCTCATGAAATCTATGTTAGTAGATCATGCCTGTATATAGCCTAAAGTTTGTACACTCCCAAAAATACCAAATGTTTTTAATCATTTAGAGACTAACACAAAGAAAAAAAACAGAAATGCTGTATATTCATCCTAACTTGGGGACAAAAACAAAAACCATGGTTTAGTTTGGAAAAACCTTGACATTTATCATGCATCCGTTTACTGGAATTTTCCTTTCTTTCAACCTGTATATGCATTGCAGTGTACTAATGCATAAATTTTCCCTCTCTTATTACTTGTTACCTATAAATTATGATTCTGACAGCACAATTGTACCAAACTTAAAGTACAATTCTTTTAAGAATACTAGGCCTACAGCTACCTATTCTCAAGGTACAAAAACACATGATACCAGGTAAGTTATAAAGAAAAATTTGGTTAGAAAGGTAACTTTAAAAACCCAAAAGTTTTAGAAATTGACAGCTCTTCTACTTGACACAAGCTCTAAATTATGAAGGGTTTGCAATGCAAACACTTCGCATTTGCTATGTTGAGAACAGCCGGATGTGAGTCACTTCACGTAAAATTAAACAATGGCGTCGAGGTTGTGTCACACTGGCATCCGTGCTCACAATTCATTTAGGATGCAAGTAAAATTTTTCTAAATCACACTGTTACTTACCATTAACTTTTAGACTTATGTATCATTCAATAGGAATCTGAGAAATACTGCATTAGGTGAAACTCATTAACATTTCAAGCATTATTTTTGTGTTACTATTTTTAGATCCATTCTTTGTCAGAAGAACCAATGCACTGAATAATATACCAGCGTACCTTGATTACAAAGGTGATGGAACAAGAATGTTGACAATGGTTATAAAAAGTGATGGAGACACAGAGGTATGTGTGAGAGTATTTATCTGCATTCTAATTATTGAGAATTTTGTTCACACCTTTGTTAATAAGTATACCTCATAAGCAAGGCTTAGTTTCATCTAAACCCTTTTGCAGAAGGTGTGGTCTGCTTACGCATGACCATCTCCCATAGATAATAGAGTATAAAGGGATTGGTAACTGCGTAGGCGGTAGTTATCACTGTATAGATTGTAATTTTCTGCATTCAATAATTACAATGTGAAAGTCAAAGGAGAAGAGCCAAATCTTGCCAGAGAATGACAGATTTACAGGATTTCAAAAGGACATGTCAATACAATTACTAGCCAGTTAACTAAAGCAATGTATTACCTGTTCCCTGTGTTTTTTTCCTAGCTTAAATGTTTATTGTTTCTGAGAAAAAGGTACAGAAACTTTGTCACTTTTACAGCACAAATTTTGAGTTTCTGGAGAAGATCTATGAGCTACAAGTCTGAGAATACCCTAGTTACATGCAACTCAAAGCGCTTGGTTGTTCTATGCTTGCTACTTTGTTGTAAAACAAGAGACATTTTAGTAAAAGGTACAGAACATTATAAAAGAGGTCCCCCTTGTTAGTAATGAATGAAACAGTTTGTTACTTTTAAGTAACTGTATGAAATTTGGATTGATAAATATAGAAGTCATAAGGTATTTTATGCATTTTTTGTTGATTTTTGCAACTACTGGGACTAAGTTATGAAGGGAGAATAGTGGACCTCTCCTGTTGCTAAGGACAGACTAGGATGCGGTAAGTGATAACTTCGCCCTCCATTGGTTTATACAGGCCGCCCAGGCAGTTTCCAATCCTTTTATACTCTAATATCTATGCCATCTCCATAGATATTAGAGTATACTATAAAGGGATTGGAAACCACCGTTCCCGGCAGGAAATGTTAGTTGTCAATACCATATTGTTTTTAAAATAAATTTTTATTTAAAGAGATAAAAATATTGAAAAACACGAAAATGGAGGGTTGAAGCAAGGATGTTGGAACTTTCCCAGTATTTTTTATTCTTCCTTGACTTTTATTTTAACAAAAATGATTTCTTATCATTATTTTGATAATGAGAAAGCATCTTGCTTTTGCTTGATGAGGTGGATCCTAAAAGAAGTGCTGCATTAGTGTCAATAGACTGTCTGATCGTTATGATGCCTAAGTAAAAGGAAATTAAGCTTTATTTACTTATACAGTGAAATGACGATATTATTATACCTTATTGCCCTCAACATGGGGATGATGTATTTGTATATGAAGTTTCAGAGCTGCAGCATTTACTGTGATTGAGTTAAGGGTACAAAACAAATCTAGTTTTTAGAACAGTTTTAGCTCATAGCCTTTCAACACTACATTGTTTTTCTTTAAAAACTTGATATTGCCCTCCAGTTTGACATTGTTTATTTGTTTATAAACCTTACAGTCAAATTTATCAAGAACCCTTTGTGTAAGAGGTACAAAACTAAAATCCGGTGGACAATAACTTCCAGCAGGAGAATTCATGGCACAATTAAACACCCTTGTTTAGTTGCAATGGACAAAAACTACACATCACTGAATAGAGTAGGTCTTAAACTTTACAGGTAGATTATAAAACAGCTGGCTCTGGCACTCATTTAGATTTACAAACAGCAAAGCAAAAGACTCTTCCTCCATTTTGTTCATTTGTGGGGGCAACTTGCATATGTTGCTAGGATGCACATCATCTACATGTAGTAATTCCTGTGGTTTCCAATCCCTTTATACTCTAATATCTATGACCATCTTGGAATAATACAATAAATAATTATTTTGAATAAAGGTATAGAACATGAAAACTGATTTCATAGACAAATAAAGTTCTTTAATGCATGACAATTGAATTTAAAATGATGAAAACTTGAAAAATGGCTATATTGGATCGTACTATGAGTTGGTTTTCACATAACGTATCTTTACTAGCATCTTAACAATGTAATACAGTATTTTTTGTATCGTTTTCAAATAGCAAAAATATTTCAATTAAAAATTTTTGAACAACCAAAATTTGTGACCTAACTATCAAAGACCGAGTAAGGTAAAGCCTGATGAGTAGGTATCATGTAGGTATGCTTGCAGTACTTCAATCTGTCACTTCATTACTGAGTTATAAATAAAACGGTCCACCATGTAAAAAAGTAGCCATTTAATTTTTACATTTATTATTTGTAAATTGATTGTTGCTATCATCTACAGTACTATTCATATACTACTAATGTGGGGAAAAAGCCAGGTCAAGAAGCTTGTGAATATCATTAATTTCGTAATGAATATTATTTTATCTCAGTTACGATATACACCCACGTATAATAATTGGCTGCCATGTTTTATGTCAAGCAGCAAGTGCTTTCTGTGTCCTGGAGATCCTGGTCACTAGATTTTGGAGCTAAAAACTATTCTTGGGTCAAGAAAGATGCTAAGAAAGCCCACCTAGGGAGTATAGTGCAATACTTTTGTTGTATGAGCCTGTTTTCCTCTTTGGGCTGTGGCAGAGAGTTCAAAACTGATTGTTCTGGCTCTACCAGACTTCTTAAGTCTTCAAAATATCTTGCAATAGTAAAAAACAGTTGATATGAAACCTCTCATTGTACTGAGTTAAGCACAACAAAACTTTTTTTGGCAAAACAGCTCTACTTTGCACATCAGCCATTAAAACTCTGCATAACTTTGTGCCTACGCACCGTCATCTTGGAGTTCATTTGTTTTATACACAGATTGCACTAAATTTTTAATGGAAAAATTTAGTTGCAAGTGAACTGCTATAAATCAAAAACATACAGTGCACTGAATAATGTGATGGGCCTCTTTCCTAAATGATTCTTCCAATAGCCACTCTTCCAGAACCTGGAGGAACAGACTTTTAGACCTTTCTAGAAAAAAAGGCCTGATGAATGACACTAAAACTCACTGAAAAGTGACCAAATTTTATCTGTTGCAAGAGCCACTAAGAAGTTTCTATCTATACCGGTGTATGAAATTTAATACATGGTCTGACAGTAATTATATATTGTAACTTGCTTTTTCATACAGAAAATTTTCGAATCATAATTGTCAAAATTTCTACATAACATAAGTATATGTATATTA